CAGTGGTACCTCAGTTTTCTAATGTAATCCGTTCCGGAAGACCATTCGAGTTCTGAAACGTTCAAAAACAGGGATCAAGAGCCAACAGCTAGGCCTCAGGATCTTGCACTCAGTGAAAGCCATGTGTCATGTTCAACAACCGAAGCATTTACTTCCGGGTTTACGGTATTCGTAAACCGAAATGTTCGTCAGTGGAGACATTTGAAAACCGAGGAGCCACTGTATTTTTAAAAACACCTAAATAGTACCTGACACAATAGTAGTACATAAGAGAGCTCTTCCTTTTGCCCTTCAATACTTAAATAATTATAAAGTTTTAAAACTTCAATTTTTTGTAGTGCTTCCATTCTATTAATTTTAAAAAACACAGCTACCAATCAGTCCATAACTCTGCAGTTTTCCATGGATAATGGGAATTCTAAATATTGGTTTTTGCTTTAAAGTATTGATTTCTATAAACCTCTCTTCCTAACTCAATCACCTAACTGCATTTTAAATATGGCCAGTGTTAAAGGATAACTCTGTATTTAGATAAAACAAAATCTAGTAGAGGACTAAAATTTGAGACTGTCTTGGTTTGAATTTGGGAGAAATTTTCTAACTAAAAAAGACATTGGAAAGATATGCAAATTCATACTTGGTCTCCTCCCACCCAGTTTCAAAAATACAACAATGGCAAACTAAAACTAAAACTTCTAAAACAGAAGTTCTCTAAAACAACAGGCATTCTCAATGGACAAGAAATGAACAGAAATAAAAGCAGTGAGTGAGGGTTGCAGTTTTGGGTCTGATGAGCATTATGTCCCAAGAAAGATGAGGGTTTGATTTTTAAGGCATAAGAGGCTCTCAACATAATCGTTTTCATGAGGAGGGGCCCAGAGTCAGATTCACTGCTTAAAACAGGGTAAAGGTCATTTTTGTAAAAAGGGAGTTTAGAAGAAATTCCAAAGCCCAAAAATGTGCATTCCCATGTATGTGGAAAATTGTTACATTAATTCCATATTTACCAAAACTAAAAATGCAAACCAATGATGTCCAAGTTTTCAGCATTTCATATGGGCATATATTATGCTCTATAATCAGATTAAGTTTTTACCCTTTCAGGTGAAAAAAAATACATCCTAAAACGATTTATCTTCCTTCTTGACAATTAAAAAGACTACACCAAGAGATGGTTTTCCTATTATCATATATTCCCAAAATTAAAATTTCCTGGTTTTTATTACTAAATATGCTACTGTGTATCCTGCAGCATTTTAACTTTTATTTTCTCAAATTCTTTCCTGATTTCTTAAAACTGGGACCAAATTCAAATTTAATGGCCTTCCAGAATGCTTCTTTATTTTACCATTCGTTTCCACATTCAATAAACCAAATCACCACTTTTTAAATTCCTTTTTGTATCTAATTCATACAGAATTACTATTTTGATAGTATTTTAGAAATAAATTACTGTACTAAAACACCTAGTGCTTTATACCACTCTGATTTCATGAACATAAATCCACGAAACACAAATAAACTCACTAGAGATGTTTTTCTAACATATAGAACTCTCTAACCTTTAAAAACTTGTTTCTAAAAACCATCTGCTATGTCTTCAGAAGTCTGTCATTCTACTAGTAGTTCTCAAACTTTTTAGTCTCAGGACTCCTTCTAAACTCTTAAATATTACTGAGGTCCCCAAAAAGCTTTTGCTCATGTAAGTTATATATTTTGATATTTACTGAATTAGAAATAACAGAAGTTTTAACTTAAAAGTAATAAATCTAAAGATGTTAACACAAACTAACGTTTTATAAAAAACAACTATTTTCCAAAAATATTAAAGTTTGATGAGAAGAAAGGCCATGTTTCATATTCTTGCAAATCTCTTTAATGTCTAGGTTAAAAGAAGACAACTAGAGTCTCACATTCGCTTCTTCATTCAATCTGTTGCAACACGTGGTTTGGGCTGAAGTATACGAAGAATATCTAGTCTCACAAAGATATGTGGCTGGAAAAGGAGTAATTTGATTGCTTTTCAGACAATTGTGGGTATTCTTTTGATAATATACTGCATTTGACAAGAAGCAGTTTCTTAAAGGTCTGTTTTGCAATGTAGAATATGAAACCATACAGGGGTAAACTTTCCATATGTTTTGTTACTGGTCTACCCCTAATTGTAAATGGACCTTTTTTATCCATGCATGATTTTGTAACATGAGCTGGTCATTTGAAAACTACTGGTTAACTGAGTAATCATACATATCTTCCAAATGTTATCACATTTTATCATAATATGCTATCCAAAAAAATCCTATTTATTAATATCCCTATCCATCTCACCAGAAAAGTATTTTATTATTAACAAGCTATCAAATTAATAATAGATTCAAGTTTCCAAAATTCTAATTTTCATTATAAAACCCAAATTTTACACTGACAACAAATACTGTCAGGTTTTTTCCTTTAAAGTAATGCTCACTTAATTCATTTTTTTAAGAATGATCTCCCTTAAATACATGAGTCTCCCAATAACCATAGTTTGATAGTCATTTTTTTCAAGGAAAAAGTGTTTCATGAAAATAATATCTAGGTTCAAGCTTGCAACTCACACATCTACGCAATTGAAAAAAAGTATTTTTTCCTAATATAATCATCTCAAAGTGCTTTATTAAAGCATACTTTTTATCACAAAAAAATACGCAGCAGGAACTGCAAATCAAACACAAGATATCACTTCATACTCATTAGGATGGCAATAATAAAAAAGGGCAATGATAACTATTGGTAAGGATGTAGAGAAATTGGAACCCCCATACATTGCTGGTGAGAGTGTACAAGGTGCAGTCACTTTGGAAAACCACTTTGAAAGTTCCTCAAAATGTTAAACATAGAGTTACCATACCCTCTAGCAATTCCACTGCTAAGTACATACCCAAAAGAAATGAAACCATATTCACACAAAAAAGTGTACACATAATGTTCATAGTTCCATTGTTCATAGTAGCCAAAAAGTAGAAATCCTGTCCAACAGATAAATGAATAAAACGTGGTATATTCATATAATCGAATATTATTCAACCACAAAAAGAATCTTGAAAATATTATGCTAAGCGAAAAGAGCCAGACACAAAAAGCTACTTATTACATGATTTCGTTAATATGAAATGGAATTCCACTGATATGAAAGGCAAATCCAGAGACAGAAAAGAGATTGATTGCCAAGGGTTAAGGTGGGGGATAGGGGAATGAGGAGTGACTGCTAATAGGTATGGGGGTTGGGGGGTGTGGGATAAAAATGCTCTAAAATTAAATAGTGGTGATGGTTGCACAAGTCTGTGACTGTATTAAAAACCACTGAGTTGTATACTTTAAAGGGTGAATTTATGGTACGTTACTTAATTTCAATAAAGCTACTATCTTTTTTAAAACATTCGGCACTCAAGGTTCAAGATTTAGTAAAAATAACTATTTTGACTGGTTTAGCAAGGTCATTCTTCAGTGAAACGCATTCCTGCAAATGCAATGTCATAAAGATATAAATGGTATAGTTTTGTGCCACTGCTTTGATTTGTGCTAAGACACAAGTAGTTTTAGCCACCATCAGTGAAAATGTCAATACAATGAAAAAGACAAATAACTTTACTATTATTTTTAGTATTATTATGAAAAGTAGTTTGACATCAAGGACCTTTAAGAGTCACAAATATCCCCCAGAGGTCCACAGACCAGACTTTCAGAAGTGTTGCTCCAAACCAGCTTCAGAAAACTAAAATGCAATTAAAGGCTTTCCGAGGACAGATCTGAGGCTTTAAGACAATTCCAATTTTCTAAGCATGTATTACAAATTTCTCAAAAGAAAAAAGGTAGTCTTTATTGTGATGGAAATTATTTCAATAAATTAAATTCAAGCATCTCAATTTAAGAGTTTAGAATCACTAACTTAATGGAAGGTTAAAATTTGCAAAAAACCCCACCCTGCCAGAGTGATTCAGTTGGTTGAGCATCCTCCTCCTGTGCACCAAAAGGTTGGCCGTTTGATTCTGGTCAGGGCACATGCCCAAGTTGCAGGTTCGTGCATATGGAAAGCAACCCATTGATGTTTCTCTCTCTCTCTCTCTCTCTCTTTCCCTCTTTTGCCTTCCCTCCCCCTTCTTCCCTCTCTCTCTCTAGAATCAATGAAAAACACATCCTTGGGTGAGGATTTAAAAAATAAAAAAAATTAAAATCTCCACAGAAACCCAAGTAAAAGGATTTAATACAAAACATTCAGTAAAACGTTGTCTAAATAAGTAACATTATAAGATAATGACAAGAGTATTTCTTTTAAAACTATACTATTCAATTCTTGCACAAGATTCAAAGAGTAGAATTCTGAAATTTCTACCCATACTATCAATAACATGTTTAGCACAGCAAAGTTCAATGCCCACTACACACTTATAATAAACTATCAAACAATCAAAGAATTTTAGGTCTAGAAGTTACCCTACATATAGTTACCTAGTCCAACAACTCAATTTTACATGATGAGGAAACTGAGTTTGCAAGAGAAAATCAAACAGCTAGCTAGCTACTAGCTGAGACAGCATAAATAAGATTCTTTACTCCCAGTACCATGATTTTAATTTTACTATGCCAACCAAATTCCCCAGCCAAATATAGTGCAGAAAACACTTAACTTCTACCACACCAAAGACGACTAAGACAATTTACCCGCCAAATAAAAATGTTGTAATGTTTGACACCACCAATCAGATGTGAAAACAAATACAGAAGAAAAAAATACAAATATGCTGGGCATGCTGGAGAAATAAATCCTTTACTTCAAAAGCTACAAACTTTCAATGAAGAACAATTTGGAAGACACTTTGATGTCTACTTTCCATACAAACTTAGGGCAACGTATCACCACCTTTAAAGATAGATACCGATGAACACCTAAAGCAAAAAATTTCCCTATGTATTAACAAATCACTGAACCTATCTATGGTAAAACATGACTTAAGGCTTACCTGCAGGACTGTCAGCATTCTCTCCTGGGTGTAGCTGTATACCAGTAGAATCTATAGAGTTTACTGTAACTGTCTGTAGATTTGGCAACTGACCAGTGCTTAGACTAACTGGAGTTGAAGTCAAGGCTCCACTTGCTGCAACTTGACCAAGCGTGAGTGTCTGAACAGGTGTCAAAGTTATTTGTTGGGCAGCAGTATTCTGTATTTGCAAATTCTGCAAGTTCTGGACCCCTTGTACTTGAAATGTTTGCCAGGTTATCTGTCCAGAAGGGGTCACTGTCTGTGCCTGAATTAAAAAGGTTCCAGGATTCAGCTGCAACTGAAGATTTTGCAAAGCCTGTTGTGATATATTTTGACCACTGGCTTGCACACCATGGATTGTCTGTGGTGTAATACCTTGCACAATTTGGGCTTGACTGGTTGGCTGCTGAGACTCTTGAAGTTGTAGATGTTGTACAACAGGCTGTGCTGTAGAAACCTGAATATTCTGAGCCTGTGTCTCTTCAGAAACAGGCGACTGGATATAATTTCCCTGAAGATCTGAAGAATGGACTTGCCCACTAGAAGTAGTCAAGCTATTTGTGTTTTGTTGCAATATACCTGTACTATCTATAGTAACAGGCAATTGTGATGAAGAGGACGTTGGCACAAACAAATCTGTATCAGTATTAGTTTCATTAATATCAGGAGAAACCCGCTCACCAGTCCTTTCTGAATTGTCTGAACTATCCATAGCTTGTCCTGTGTTTATTAAATGTCCATCGGCATTAATGCCTGCAGTCATTGTCTGAGAACTGCCCGAGAGTCCCAAAGAATCTAGATCGACACTGTTGATTGGTACAAAGGTAATATTTCCTGGCAGACCAAGAGGCACATTAGCAACTACTTGGGTTTGGCCAGGAAAAGATGAACCACCAATTGTAACTCCCTGAACCTGGACTTGACCAGTCTGTGGTATGAGATTCTGGATATTAGCAGGAGGTGTTCCAGAGGCAAGCAAGCTTTGATTAGAGCCAGGAATGATCTGAATTTGACCACTTTCTTGATTTATACCTCCATTATCTGAAGTGCCTGTGAAACCAATCTGAACCTGCTGACCATCTGTTGACTGAATCTGTGGTATTACTTGATATTGAACATTGGACACTGTACCATTCGATGACTCTGATCCTGGTGCAACTGAAAATATTTGTTGATTCTGCAAATTCTGAAGGGGAAGAACATACTGCCCACTTGAAGTAGCAGCACTTGGAATCTGTACTAGATTACCCGCTTCATCTTTTATAGTTGTAGGTGTGGCTGACAAAACCTCCCATCGGTTTGGTGTTCCTCCTAACTGTGCAGCAGCCAAATCACCTGTCTGGAAGAAGAAAACAAAAATTGTTTTGTGATATATATTTGTGGTATAGTTAAACCAGTCCTCAGAACTCTAAAAACTGATATAAATCCTACCACCTAAAAAGAAAAGTTCTCTTAATAATACAGTGGAGTTCAAATACAGAAGTAGTACTATATAAACTACAGCTGGGTAGTTCAGTTGGTTAGAGTATTGTCCTGATACACCAAGGCTGTGGGTTCAATCCTCTTATCAAAGCACATACAAGAATCAATGAATGCATGAATAAGTGAAACAACAAATTGATCTGGATAGCTTTCACTCACTCTTTCCCCCCTCCTTTCTCACTCTAAAAAAATTAAAAAATTAAAAATTTAAAAAATAAACTACAATAATTATCATTTCCAATTTTGTTATTATAAAGATAACTCATGCTATTTGAGCATGAAAAAAAAACTTCAATAAGAATAGACTGCTTTATGACCACAAATTGATCTTTTAATCCCTCATCTATGATCTCTAAAGCTATTAAAATAGAAGTGGCTAGAAAAAATTATAAACAACTCAAACCAGACATACCTCAAACACTGAAAAAGAGTTCAAAAAATATACAATGCACTAAAAATATGTCACTAAATCAGGTGCATTATGTATGAGAAAAAAAACATTTTTAGTGCAGTGTTACCAAATCATCTAAATTAGAAAAGTTGAGATTTGTATATTATGGATATAAACCTTAAATCAAACAATTAACAATTAAAGCAACTCTTTTATGATATGTATTAATGTACTCCAGAGCAAACTTATGGCTAGGGATATCTTACTAGCAATCTTTATTTTTTCGGTGAACTACTTTTTAAAAATATGACACCTTTAAACACTTAATGAGAAAAGGTTATTGCCCTGTTACCACATGGCAAAGTCACCCCTGAAAGTCACCATCTGAAAAATTTTTCTAGAATCCAAGAGCTGGAGGATATAGACTGTGGCTTTACCTACTATTCTACTTAAGTTTGGAGTCAAGTGCCTGGCATATACATTTTGCATTCTGTGACCTACTGGAATCTCAGGTATCGCCCCCAAACTTTACAGAGTAAGACTGGAAAAATACCAATGTAGGAAAGCAAAAAGCAGTAAAATCCTACATGTCAATGTCAAAGGACAGATATTTTTAGGGCATAGTAACAGTAATGTCTAACATTTAAGCTGTTTTTTATATGTCAGGTACTATAATCAGGGTTTGTAAGATTTTATCATTTACTCCTTACAACAATCCTATGAGGTAGATGTTACCATTATTCACATTTCACAGAGGAGAAAATCGAAGGACAAATCACAGAGCTATCAAATGCCAAAACAAGATATAAAAGTAGGCCAAGTCTAACTCCAGAACCCAGGCCCTTAAATACTATACCATACTGTCTCCTGCTAAGACCAGGGGTAAAGACATGGGGAATGAGACCCTGTGTTAATTACTCACCATCAAAATAAAACGATTCCTATCCCACTTCCTTGTACATCTATGTATTATTTCCTAAAATGCCACATATCAGTAGAAAATGACAGCATAAGCATATCTAGCCTAGCATTCTCACCCTAGGGTTCATGCTTGAGTTTCAAAGGATCTTTGAATCCTTTAAAATAGCATACCAACTTTTTGAGAAAGTGCGAATTACAATGGGTGGGGGGGCAATAATCTAGGGTTCCATCATATTCTCAAAGGGTGTCTGAAGATCTTAAAAGTTTATTAAAAAAAAAAACTCACTGCCTAATTTTAATGTTGAAGCACAAAGTATATATTTCAAAGTAAAAACAGTATTAATGACTCAATTCAAGATATTTACGTGTTATCTGTCAAAATGAAATACACATATGAGTAAGCCCATGAGACACACAATTTTTTTCGTCAAATGGTTCACAATCTATCCAAGCAGACATACACATACATGCTACTATATGTGAATACTGGTGCACACTAACCATATGATCAAAACACTATTTGGAAACATAGAAGACTGAAGGAAAAAAAAGATTTTGCATAAGATATATTTAAAGTAATCTTTGAATAAAACTTAAGAACTCATTCTGGACAGTTAGGAAATAGAGACAGAGGAATTAATAAAGATGTAGAAACAATAAAGTCACAGACAAAAAGAAATATGTAGTTTGGTGTTTAAGAGAGGATCCAGAAAAGGCTCAGATTCAGAGAAAAGTAATGGAGAGCAGGACTAGACATTTTTATCAGGGCCTGTAGTAAATGGCTTTGTAGATCCTGCTAAGGAGTTTGGACTTTATCCTGCAGACAGTGAATGAAAGCTATAAAAGGTTTTTAAGCAAGTGAGTGGTGCAATCAGATCTGTTCTATAAAGATAAACTAAGGCCCAGTGAAGGAGACTGAAAGGCGGAAGAGAGTAAACGCAGAGAAACTGTGGGACCCAGTACAAACATCTAAGCCTGAACTAAAATAATGATCATTTAAATACAATCTTTTAAATTTACCAAACTTAAGTTATTAAAATGAAGCACCAGACATTAAAGTCATGCTTCATTCTTCAACTTCTATCTGGTACAAAAATTAGGAGGTTAAGTCATCTTTCCCTATAACAGAGTAACAATTCACATTTCATTTCAGTCTCTTGGCATTTTAAATGAACTAAAGATATTTAAATGTATACTTTATACTAAAATCTGCAATAAAGTATAATGTCTAACATCCAATCCTTATCTTAAGGTTATTGATCACCTTTAAAGAATCAACTGTTGAATTTTTTCTGACCAGCATTAAATTTACAATTATTTAACTTATATCAAATATAGTGTCTCAGATACAAATTAACTTTTTAATACTGACATTTAGACCCTTTTCATCTTTAAAAAAAGGTTAATTTATGACATCTAAAATAGTTTTTATTAAAAAAAGGGTAGAAAGGTATTCAACCATCACTGTGAACAGCTTTCTAGCCATGAAATTCTTTGAATACAACTACTCAAATGACAACTGAGTAAATACTACCCAAGCACCCCTCTTCCTCTCCAGAAGCTAAATAAAAATAAATTGTAGTACCACTTTTTTGAACAAAGCAGGTCAGTAATTGAATAATTGAAGAGAAATCCCTCTTTCCAAAAAAAAAAAAAAAGAAACTAAAAAAAAAAGGAAATCCCCAAACCTAGGACAAAATGATTTGAAGATTTTTTAATAAACTGAAGGTAGAAAACACTTACAAAAAACATACTTATGCCCTGGCCGGTGTGGCTCATTGTTTAGAGTGTCCTCCTGTGCACTGCACTGAAGGGTCAAGGATTCCCAAAGAGGGCACATAGGTTTGATCTGGATGGGTTGCATGCATGAGGCAACCAACCAATTGATGCTTCTCTCTCACATCGATGTGTGTCTGATGTGTGTCAGTGTCCCTCCCTCTTTCTCTCCCTCTCCCTCTTCTCCCCCTCTCCCCCTCTCTCTCTGGAATCAATGAATAAAAGAAGTACTCTTGAGTAAGGATTAAAAAATGTGTGTGTGTATATACATATATATATATGTATGCATATATTTTTACGAAGCACAAGCCTGGGGGCGGGGGAAGGAGCTGGGAACAGCAAGAGAAAAAATCCAGCAATAAAAAAGATTTTTCTTTAATGAAATAATTTAGTTTTAAAAGATTTACTGTGTTAATTTTTTTTTTTTAATCCTCAACCGAGAGAGTATTTTTTTAAACTGATTTTTAGAGACAGAGGAAGGGAGAGAGAAACATCGATGTGAGAGAGAAACATAGGTCAGCTGCCTCCCCTATAAGCTCCAATCTGGGAATTGAACCTGAAACCTAGAATTGGACCCGAAACCTTTTCAGTCACAGGTTGATGCTCCAACCAAGTGAGCCACCCAGCCAGGGCTAAGTGTTCATTTTTTAAAAAATAGAATGAGGAGCCCAGCCCGGCTTGGCTCAGGGGTTGAGTGTTGACCTAAGATCCAGGCGATCAGGGTTCGATTCCTGGTCAAGGCACATGCCCGGGTTGCGGGCTCGATCAATGACTCTCTCATCATTGATGTTTCTCTCTCTCTCTCTCTCTCTCTCCCCCTCTCCTTTCCTCTCTCTGAAATCAAGATATATTTTAAAAATAATAATAATAAAAAATAAAATAGAATGGGGGAAAACACTGAATCAGAAAACTGCAAGACTTTCATGATTTAAGCTAAGACCATGCATGGAAAAGGGAAACATACTGCACTAGAGAGAAAAGAACTCAGAGCTGAGTTCTGGTCCTAGCTAGAACTGTAGAATTGTGTGTGATTTAGAGTAGAACTCAATTTTCCTCTGTTAAAAATGGGGAAAATATTACCTTACAGGGTTGTAAGAACCAAAACTGTTCAGCTTTATAAACTATAAAGCATTATACAACCCTAAGGCATCATTATGATTACTAAGATTTAAGGACAGATTTGAAGAACACCCATAGATGCCTAGCACAATTCCTGGCACAAAGATCAGTAAGTATTTGTTGAATGAATACTAAAAGATATCTTACTTTAAAATCATTGCAAAGAAAACAATAGAAAGAATGGATCAAAAAACTGACCTTGAGATATCAGTCTTCTATGTAAAGCTCGGTATCAATTTTAAACCTATTTATTTCCATAATTCCACAATGAATAAGCCCCAAGTATTTCAAACTACTAAGTCTACTAAGACCATTCACTTGTAAGAGAAATTTCATCAGCAGCATACCACTAAAAGAGATAAAGTACACTAAATACCAAAAGGGACAGGGATAAATTAGAAAATCATCTGAGACCAAAAAGAGCTGTAAAAATGTCTGCTGTTAGGCTATTTGGAAGCATTATACAAACAAAGGAAGAGAGACATAAAACCACATAACCAAGCAAGAACTAGTATTTGGTTTAGGTTCAAGACAACACTCTATATAAGCTTCACACTAAAAGAAAAATCCACTAGTATTTCTCTCAGTAACTCTAATATTCTCATTGGACAACTAACAAAGTTGTAACTGAAGGTACTCTAAGGCTCCTTCTGCATATAAACACATAATCATACACTGAAGGGACCACAACCAAGAGTAGCCCAGGGATGTTGCAATAGCAATTTATTACAGGGGCATTCTCCAGTACAACGAAGCATAAAAATGGGGGTAGGGTGGGGAGTTGGAGGTGAGAGGAAAGAAAAAAAGGTTATCTTCTCAGATAATACCTGTAAATTAGGAAAAAGAAAAAATTTATACCATTTATTCCATAGCATTTGAAA